GGGATGTCAATGGGGCGGGTTTTGCAATCTCCATATCTGCCCCGCTCTGGAAATATCCATGTCTGTCAAAATCTCCGTGCTCTTTATAAAGAGTCTCCATACCAGCTCTATAAAATGTCCACGGGTATCGGGGCGGGTAAAAATCTCCATATATATTTTTCTCTTCTTTTTTTCTAATAAATAAATATGCAATGTATTTTCACTTTAAAGGGTTATTTCTCCACACACACCACTATTTATTTATACACTCGAGACCTAGAAATCTCCACATGTAGCTATTATTTAAAATATTATTTCTATTTATTTATATATATATAAAATAATATATATATATATATATATATATATATATATATATATATATAATGCGGGGCGGGTCTAAGGGGCGCGTATAGGCAAACCCGTCCCCGTACCCGTACCCAGTCAAAATAATCAATCCCCATACCCGCCCCATTTTTTTCGGGGCGGGGCAGGGCGGGACAAATTGCCATCCCTAATGATCAGTTTAGAATGTATAAAAAAATCTGTAGTTGAAAAAATCCAGATACAACAGACACTTAACATCAGAAGATAACTACAAAAAATGTACATATGGATGGCTGCAAGTTAATTAAGAAAAATGGCAAGACAGATTCAGGCAAAGATGAACCCCTCCCTAAGTGATTGAGGCAAGAAAATAATCAGTTATGTCCATCTCTCTAACTTCCTATCATTGACATAAAAAAACATTTCACACTGCTCGAAAGTAATTTATATTTAAAAGTGAATTACAAAAACTATAGCAGTTGTCTGAAAAAAACCTTAGATACAGAGAAGCATACAACTTTAGCATGGACATGGTAAAGTTATTAAGAATCCAGACATAAATGAAAAGAAGAAAAAATATCAACTATCTGAAAGAACTTAATACAGACAAATGCTCACCTGCTCATTTAGAAAGTGCGAAGAAACAGAATTTAGCGAATACGAACTTAATTTGTAATCCCTTTGCATAACCTGCACAAAAAAGCACCAAAAAGTGATAACTTATACAACTAAGTACATGGATGTGATAGCAAGACTTCGAGAAAAAAAGATTTGGTGTCATTCTGAAATATGAATATCATATGATGGAGTTCTAGTTAGCAGGAAAAACCTGTAGCAGATCAAATTGTACTCTCCCCTCAATTGTAACTTCTTTACTTTCTCTGGTCCCGTATTGTCTGCAGCTCCAGAAGCTTTAGTTAGTTATTCAACTTAGCAACAAATTATAAAGTGAGGAACTCAAACAAACCATGACACTGAATGCCCAAATAGAACATGAATTTCAGACATTGATACACACTCAATTGCTTAAGCTCGCTAATGTGGAAGCTTTAGCATTTACGGACCACTGTAACTCAATTCTTTCACTTGCAAATGCTTTTGCATGATTGTTAATGAATAGAAAATGTTTTTTTCTGGGGATACATGATACAGAAAGTACCATGTAAGAGATATTTTAATCAAAGTTCGCCTTTGCTGTAATATAACTTTCTATTACAACACTATCTTGGTTAAGAATTCATATTATCACTGTGCTAGCTTCATGCTCACAAGCTGCACAGATGTCGTGAGCGGTAACCTAATTAATATGAGAATATCCAAGCTTTTTTATTGCACATAAACCTAAATAATATGACAGTAGCTCAAACTTCAACCATAGAAATGAACTTACTGTCTATGCAAGTAAATATGAGAAACAAAAAGTACAAAAAATACACGAATAGTCCGTCTTTTTTATTATAGAAACGAATGCAAAAAATGCAAGGAATAAATACAAGGATAAAAAATGAACAAAGTAAGCAAATCAATTTTGGGTGGCTGTATTACAGCTATCAGTCACAAATTTAACTTTTACGGTGGTTGTAAGTATGAAGGAAGGAAGAAGAAAACATTTCATAACCTTGATGAAAAAGTTGTATCTTTGATGCGGACTCTGCTGTTTCGAATACGTCCAAGTATTGGAAATTCAGCTATTCCCAATACATCAGCTCTCTGTCAAGTAAAACCAAAAATGGTACATAAGCATTCACTGATTGAACATCTTGGGACGCGGACAATAAGTTATTTCTCATATGGAATGAAATACCAATAGGAGAAGAAAATAAAGCAAAGTAAAGAGAGAAAATGCCCACCTGAATAAGGTATGGCAGATCGAATTTGCAGATGTTATAACCAATTATGATGTCTGGATCCACTTCACGAATAAAGTCCTGTAGCAAAGAAGATTAAATAAAGATGAAGTGAGTAAACAGTAAGCATCTAAAAATCAGTTACATGAGTAATTTACTCAAAGTCTACATTATTTTAATCTAGTCAAACGAGTAGATTGGTTCAGTTATGTGCCAAGAGCATTACCCTCCAAGCTAATAGAACTTCTTTTTCCGTGTCAAATGACATAACATCAACGCCAACAATACTTGAGCATGACTTAAGAGTCATGACGTTCTGAACAAATGGCTGGCCCTCTCCCTGTAACGTTACTAGATTGGCTATCTAGAAAATAACATAAAAATATATCAGAAAACGGGAAGTCAAGGAAAGCAGCATAACCTAATCACGTATATAATTATAGATTAATGCAAGCTAACCTGGATAACAGGATCCTGACTGGGCTCGGGAAAATGACCTTTCCTCCCAGCACACTCAATGTCAAAACTCAATATCCGAAATGGAGCCATCTTTGAGAATTCCCCTTCAGGGGCATGACTGATCAAGTCCGAAAAACTAATATAATTTGTAAAGGGAAAATCATTTTAACAAGATTAAATCTAGAGAGAAACAGCAGCCCTTATGCTAACAGAACTACGTATTTTCCGTTCATGAGGATACAGGCAATCAAACTCCAACTGACAATTGGTGAGACTTCTTGGTATAGTCTTATGTTTTCCACGAGGAACTTCGATCCAGTTACCTCCGACTATGTTGCAATCAATCATGAAACGTAGAGCAAAAAGAACATTACTCTCGTATGTCATAAAACTCTTCATGCCCAGTCCTTCAATTTGTATTCCTCTTTCAAGGATACCTGTCAAGATTGCAATTCAGAATTCAGATAAATGGAAATCTTGAAAAGTAACAAAATATTCTGCAGAGTAAATTAATCAGAAATATGCTATCAGTTATCACCAGTTTAAATATCATCTACTTCGCATAATTAGTTAAATTACAGGCCATTCCAGAATGTTAAATCACAAAGCAGTAATAGATGACAGGCTTATTAAGTTGTACTTGAAGAACGAGAAAATCTCATACCACGGCAGCTTGCAACCATTGTTGGCAGTGCCACTACAATTTTAAGGAAGGGATGAGAGTTCTGCTGTTGATAATGCATGATGCTTCTCTTCTGAACGAGCTCAATGCGACGTATAAATTTGGGAACTCTAGTATTTCTGTTTGATTCACTCATCTTACCCTGTAGCGACAGCAAGGTGAAAATGATAACCCAAAAGAAGTTACAATTGATCACAATTGTAGATGAAATTAAGATTCTTGAATACATACACACGATTAAGAAATTTTGAAAAGAACTACCTCAAGAATTTTATGGAAACGGGAGATATCATCAGGACCCATTCCTGAAGGGCAGTTGATGTAAAAATATGGCTCGAATCCATGCACGAAACAGCAAACACTATGTCCTGGCCAAGGATAATTTCAGAAATTAATAACCTGTGATATTAGCCTTAATCCAATATAAGGATTTTCTGCAACCACTCAAGTCACTCGAAGAACAAAAGCTAAGAATTGTTAGCACAATAAGAAAATTCATGTGTTTGCCCATTTTATTGTAATATCTTTGATGTATATTCTAAGATCCTATAATAGTAAGCAATGCAATTGTAAAAAATACACACTAGGATAAACAATAAGTTTTTTTTTTTCTAAGCACGCTGCACTGACCAACAGCACTGGTATCAATTGGAAGTGACAGTTAACCAAAAGTTTGTAGATGTAAGTTGTAAGTCGTAATCCTCCACGCACGGTATATGTTAGCATCAAAAAATAGAGGATCCAAATTATTTTACTTTCAAGTTTGATATGATACGGACAATTTCCTAAATTCTCCAAGCCTTTACAACTACACCCTAATAGCTCTACGTTTACTCTTACTTCAAACCACTCATTATTAGGATACACAATTTCGAGAGATAACCTTCTTTAGTGACCCCAAAAATCCGTATAATTGCGGCCAGGCCTGAAGAACTCGGCAGAAGTTCCTTGTGGCTATCCCCGACAACATAATCCATTTCCAACTGCTGAAATACTTCAAAACAGAAAACAAGGAGGAAAAGAGAAATTAAACGAGAAATTGCATCATCTTATATCCGTTAAGAAAAGATAAAAAAAAAAGTTGTGATCCAGGACAAGCATATTAATACTAACATATAGTATGGACACCATAATCCATTAAGCAAAAAAATCGACAAATTGGAATTGGTAAAAAATGTAAACACAATCATCCGACCTTAGCAAATAATTACACAATTTCAACACGAATTACCAATATTTAAACCATTCGAAAACAAAATGCGGTTGGTAACAAAGAGTAGAATAAAAATCAGGGGAAGTGGAGTTTGTGAGTACGAATTTCGGGAAATACCGATGTTCTGAGACTGGGAAATGTATGAAGGGGAAAGCGCGGGACGCTTCCACTTGGCAAGACGGTCGGATAGGGCGCGGCGCTGCGAGTCTTCCTCCTCGTACTGAAGTAGGGTTTCCTCGAAGAAGACGTCCTCGTCTAACTCCTCTTCCTCCATCGTCGCCTGGTGCTTCAGTTGAGGGGATGGAGTTGCGGCCGGATTCTTCGGCGGCGGCGGAGCCGCGCGTTTCCGTGGATTGCCGGTGGCGCTCATGGTTGCGAAGGGGGGGAGGGAAAACGGGAGTGAAGTTCCCGCCCAGTTTCACGACTGAGCTGTATTTATTGGAGGGGGCGTCACGTGACTGTCACGTGACGCACGCGTTATATGCTAAAAGTCGTTTGTTGCAATTTTAGGTCAAATTTTAGTAAAGCAATTTTTTTTTTTGTTTTTCAATAAAAGAATTTTATTAAGCAATCATTTTGTGCATTGGGGAAAAAAATCTGAAAGTGGTGGCTATGCCGCGGAGTATATCGAGGTCGCCGTCGTACTCGAGGAGGCGGTATTCCCGTTCCCGATCACCGGCAGCTGTCAGTCACCGCCACTCCACGCGCCGCACCACGCGCCGGGAGCGCACCCGTTCACCCCACAGCAGGTGACCTTATCAATGCTCTCCCTAATTGTTTTTTTAATTCTCCATTCGAAAACGAATTTTAAGTAAATAATATGACCTACCATGAAATTAACTCTTCTGAATGTAATTGCGTGAAATTTAGTTAGAGTAATTAATTTTTTAGATTAAATTATTAGATACCGCAGGTATTATGATTTGGAAGGGTTATGACTTGTGATCTGGTAAAGATAAAGTTATAAGATATTCGAAAGATTAGACATTGATTTTACATTATAGTCTATGGCCGAAAGAATTAAAGTTTTTTTGCGATGAAAAATGTTGATGATTATCAAGCCTTTACAAGGAAAAAAAGTAGTAACTTTAAGACGAAAAAAAATGTGTATCTGTTCCATTGGCTTCTGTATTAAGGAAAGGTTGCCGTAGTTGATAGGTCGTAAGTTAGAAAAAGGATATTTCGAAGCTCAATTTGGACTTCTTAATGATGAGTGAAATTGATTTCTATTGAATTGCTCTAATTTTGACATAGCTAGTTTGTTTTTTCAGGCGAAGAAGTCGTTCTCCAAATTCGAGGCGTCGGAAGAGTCGTTCCAAGACTCCAAAACGTCATAGAAAACGGAGAAGCCGAAGTTCATCTTCCTCCCCTTCACCAAAATCCCGTAGTCCCAGCACAACGCCGGCTGATTTGAAGATTGCCAGCGAAAAATTGAAAAGGGAAGAAGAAGAAAAGAAACGGTAAGGAAAACAATTCAATTCCTCTCTATCTTTGTTATACAATTATTTAAAATAATTTTGATCAACTTGTGTTGGTAATTGAGTCAGAGGGGTTCGAAATCGTCTTTTCACTGAAATATTACTGAAGATAAAAAATGTGGTGATTAAAAATGTGGACTTCTCATCCTTGAGTTTTAGTTCTTACATAATCTAAGCAAGTTATGTCTGAAATATTTGTAGTTAGTACATTATAATGTATATGTGTATCTTTATTGTTTGTTTCTGTTTGACATATCAGCGTATTGGGCAATGTGCTCGATTGTTCACCCCGTTGCAACTTTTATTTTTATGTTTCAAGTTTGTCTTCAACATGACAGTAATGATCAGTCTCGAGACAATTTTAGGTTGTCATACTATTTTGTGGTAACTTTGGACATTGCGTATCTAAATCTGCTATAAGTGACTTAAACGATTACCCGTGCTTTTAGATTACAGCATGAGGCAGAACTTAAACAGTTAGAAGAAGAGACTGCAAGGAGATTGGAGGAGGAAATACGGAGAAGGGTTGAGGAGAAACTCGGTTCGGAAGAAGTTAGGTTAGAGATCGAAAGACAAGTAGAAGAAGCTCAGAAGAAGCTGTTTGATGATGTTGAAGCGCAGCTCAAGAAGGAAAAGGAAGCTGCTCTTGCTGAAGCAAGGCGAAAAGAAGTAAGTTCTTTTGGTCAAAAATATCTCTTATCGAATCTATTTAAACGGCTCAATAAAATTTGTTGTATCATCAGTTGTATAATTAGTATGTTTGGTAAGGTTTTCAAATTCTTTTCACACTTTCCCCAAAATGAAAATTATCTTTCTACAATATTTTCAAAAACTTTCCCAAAAAAAAATTCAAATGTTTCTCTCTCTAACAAACATGAAGCATGATTTGACCGCTACAGTGAAAATTGTCTTCACTAAAATACAAGATAAAATCACTTCATCTTTCAAATTCTTCTTCCAAAATACCTTTTCCCAACACCTTTCAGACATGATTTGACTTGCTATAGTACAAATTGTCTCTTCTCAAAACACAAACAAACTTTATTTTATTTCTTAATTCTTCTCCCAAAACACCTTTCTCCAGAATAAAATGGAAACGGAAGCCCAAAAGTTTACCAAACATAGCCAGATAAATACCTTTCGCATCGAATCTCATTTACTTTAACCAAGATCCATATTTTATCCTTAGTCAAAAGTTCGAGATTTATTTTCGTCGCCGATGTAAGATGATTGTGGTGACTATATTTAATTTGCATTGTACATATTGCTTTGGCTGTCCGCACTTCTTTGAAAACTGATTGCACTTCAGTTTATTCGTCCTTTAAACTATCTTTGAAATTACTTTATTTTTTTAGAATTTATTGAAATACTCCCGGGTGTTTTTGTTTTTTCACCTATTTGTTTGGTTCTGCATAGTTTATTTCTAATTACTGAGTTGTTTGTGATACTCGAATCAATCACCAGGAGCAAGCTCGAAAGGAGAGAGAAGAACTCGATAAGATGCTCGAAGAGAACCAAAGGAGGGTAGAAGAAGCCCAGAGAAGAGAAGCTCTGGAGCTTCAGCGCAAAGAGGAAGAAAGACTGCGCGAGTTGGAATTGATCCAAAGACAAAAGGAAGAGGCTGCTCGAAGGAGACGAGAAGAGGAGGAAGAACGTGCAAGTCAGGTTTTATCCGGTAAGAACAAACCTCGTCAAAAAATGATTGGTCTGTAGAGGATAGAGTTCAAATATGACTCGTATATTTGTCTCTTTAAAGCCTAACATATTTATGTCTGTTTATTTGCGAGTGACAAAAAAATTACGTATTCTGTTTAGTATTTAGACAACGAAAAAACTGATGTTTTCGAATCATTAATATGGAGGAAGTAGGAATCGAACCCGACCGGCGTTTAAGGTTATAAATGATGAATTTGATCAAACTATATTTGTATATATATGCATGTATTTGTGGGTAATTTCATACATAACATAAAAGATATTATAAGTTAAAAGGTCATGGGAATTTAAGTGGTATACTTTTGTCCAAAATATATATTCTACATGTTGACATATGTGCGTGATGCGAATGAGAAAAGTACATCAATGGAATACTCCACGGAACTTAAAAAAATAAAGTGAAAAGTATCGAAGTTCAAAACCAAAAAGAATCCAACAACTAGGATTATAAACGAACCGAGCCAGACTCGAGTCAGTTTGTCGAGTTCGAGCTCCAACTCAATTTCTTTTTTCAATTTTCAATTTTTATTTTAATATCATTATTTTTCTATTTCGCAAAAAATCTATTATAATTAAATAAAATACAAACTAAATTATTATTTTTCTTTTTCTTACATATTAATTATATTATTATTCATATATTATTTTCATATTATTGTGTATGATACATACGTAAAAGTGGATTCAATTTCAAGCTCAAAAACTAATCAGAAAGTTCTGGCATTTTTCGAGCTGACTCATCTAACTAGTGACGCGACTCAACTCACTTATCCTCCTACTGTTAGAGGTGGATTTCGTACGATTGTCCTACCAAACACATTATACAATTACCACCACCAAAATTTTGATACTGGAAACTTCCTTAATTGTTGCCCTACACCAAAAATTTTGGTAAATCGAATAGTTAGTACTTGGTACCAATTTATGTTGGTCTAGTATTTCAGTATTCTACATTATTTTTTTTAAGACAATTCAATACATAAATATAGTTTAAATGCCCAAAAAGGCAAAAACATGTAATATTTAAGGCACGCATTTTCTAAAATATTTTGGTACATACCATCCGATAGCAAATCGGTAGGATACGGTAAGACAATAGATTAGCAGGAAAATTCGGTAGAAAATTCACGTCTACCTACAGTTGCGAGTTATATTCTAAGTAGGGGTTCAAATGGGACGAAATGGATTGAAACTGTTTTTTCCGAAAATTTTCCAATTTTTTCCGGAAGTAAAAAAATGGGTTCCAATTCAGTTCCAAAAACACCGAAATGCAAATATTCATTCCGATTTGAGAATGCGTAGCGGAATTTTGGAAATTAAAAAAAATTACATTAGTTTATAATATCTTGTTCCAAATGCAGATATAATGAAAAATTTCACAATATCCTTTCATCTTTTTTAAATTTTGCAAGAAAATCCAAAAGAGAGTTCGTCAAAACGCAGTAATTAAAAACACATGTAGGAATAACAAATTGAAACATAGATTTTCTTATAAGGAAAAATGCAACATAAAGTTTGTAATACCAATTAATCTTTTATAAGGTTTTAATTTACTTAACCCTTCGGTATTATTTTTTAGTATAAAATATAACATAATTTATATTAGGGTAAATTACACCCAAACCCCTGAGGTATGCTTAAATAACTTTAAGGTCCCTGTGGTATCGATAATTACACTCACCCCCTTGAAACGTAGTTATAAATTCTAATGGGATAATGCATTGGATACGTTATTACGATAGAGTTCTAACGGACTATTGGTTTCAGGAAGTGGTGGAGACAACAAAGAGTTATGGGTGATTTAAGAAATATTGGGGGAGCCATGTCACCCCATAACTCCCCATAACTCTATGTTATATCCACCACTAGCTAAAAGTAATAGTCCATTAGAACCCTATCCGAATAATGTATCCAATGCATTATCCCGTTAGAGTTTCTAACTACGTTTCAGGGGGTGAGTGTAATTGTCGATACCACAGGGACCTTAAAATTATTTAAGCATACCTCAGGGGTGTGGATGTAATTTACCCTTTATATTATAGAATTACAAAATATATTGTAAAATTATATCATATATTTCGAAAATTATAGAAATACTCGGAACTAAAATCGGATCAAAAATCGAAATTTCTAGTAGTTTTGTATTATATACCACTCCAGTTCCGTTCCAAATAAAGTCCAAAAAAATCAGAACTTCGAAAATCGGAATAAAAAATACGGTTCTAAACTCAGATATTTTCACATCGGAATTAACATAATTCGGAAGTTCCATTCTAATTTCCCAAGCTTAGAATTTGTGCTAGATATGAGAATATGATGTCTATATAGATATATCCTGTATACACATCTATGTATATAGAAAATGTATGTTTGTAAAACAGGCACGTGGATTGTGATAAGAGTGCAAATGAGAATGTCTTTGAGAACAAATTACAAGTGCACACCGACCATTGACAGGTGACCACATATAATTTGCACACATTTTTTTTATCCGATTGCTTATCTTGGCAACCAAATGGGGCTATTGGCCCCGTTTGATTGTCAAGATTAACTAAATAGTTGGACTTAATTTGATATTTGGTATTCTCAATAAATTGTTGGGTCGATCCGCCAAAATTATATAATCATGGCTTATCTTGCCTTCTAATGAGTTTATTTTATTGGACCCTTCAAGCTCTAATAAAATAATTGAGTTTCATTAGATTATTTAATTTTATCATGACTAATCTTATCTTGCTAACCAAACGGGGCATATGTCTGATAAACTTTATCAAGTTATATCTTGTATGATTGATGGAAAACTATTTAGGCCCCGTTTGGTTGCCAATATAAGATCAGCCAGTTGTTTTATTGGACTTTGAAAGGTCCAACAAGAAACATGCTTAAAAGTAGGGGTGCAAGTTGGAACGGAATTTCCAATTTCCGCCGATTCCGATCCGAAAAGTTCCGATTTTGGAACAACTTTTTTCATTCCGACTTCCGAAATTCTGATTTCCGAATTTTTCCGATTTTTTTGGATTGGAATTGGAATAATATAAAATAAATTTGGAATTTCCGATTTCCGATCCGATTTAATTCCGAAAAAATCCGATTTTTTTCCGAAAAATACACCTATAAATAATATATATTATATAATACTTATTTTCCGAAAAATACACCTATAAGTTTTGTTTTATGATTTTGACATAATGAATTGTTATTAGAAGTTTTATTGGATATTATGCTGTGTTTATTTTTATTTATTTTTTTGAACTGAAATTTAGTAGTTATTAGTTTTACTTTTATCGACGTGGATGTTCTTATTTTTGAAAAACTATGAACATTACAGAAATTTTCGGCTAAGTTTTGAAATTTTAAAGCTTATGTGATTTCCGATTTTTTTCCGAAATTCCGAAATTTCCGGGCCTTTTGGAATTGGAATGAATTTTTAGATTCCGAAATTTTTGGAATTGGAATTGGAATTGATTTTGTACTTCCGAAATTTTTTGGAAATTTTCCGAAAAGGCTAATTTCGATCCGATCCATCCGACTTTCACCCCTACTTAAAAGGCAAGATAAGCCATGATAACATAATATTTGCGGGTCGACCCGGCAAGTTATTGAGGATACCAATCATCCAAAGTCTAACTATTTAGTTAATCATGACTAATCTCCCTAACCAAACGGGACCCTAATGTATTCCACCAGATGCAGTATCTAGGAGACCGTTTGGATCCGTAAAAGGAAACTATATAAAATAGACGCAAATGGAAAAAAATGCGCCTCACTTAACGCAAAGACAACGAACTTGCACCGATTACAAAGGCACGTTTTTTCTAGTAATGTAAACCTTCTTTGGTTAAATTATTCGACCAAATTTTGTGTTTTAATCAAACAAACTTCATCCAATTACTATTCATCATAAGTAAAAGCCAAAATATTTTTCAATTTCAAAATAGATCTATGGACAAATTTCAAGTTATGGTAATTTTCTTAATGTAATTCTATAAATTATAAAATATACTTTCAATTCGAATTTCAACAATACCAATTGGTGGAAGAGTGGAGTTGTAGGATTTCGGGTGAATTGTATTTTGCACCCCATAATTAATCCTAATTGGTGCTTTGCACCCCAATATTTTAAATTTGGCAAAATCCATCCTCAAATTATATTTCTCATGGCACAATGCACCCATATCAATTTCTTATGAGATTTTAACTAAAAAATCAATACATCACGATATATTAACATTTGAAGGGATTTTCATGCTTGATGGTATATTGTAGTTTTTATTTTATTAAAAATATATATTTGTAAAGCCTTATTTTATTAATCCATTTAATTATTATCATCTACACATTTAAAAAAAAAGTTAATAATGTCCAACAATTCCCATTCTATTTTTTTTAATATATATTTTAATGGAAAATTAGGAATTTTTGAAAATAAAATTTGAATTAGAAATTTTATATGCATGTATTAATTCGATGTGAAACATATGAAATAAATCACCAGTTTTATTTTATAAATTTATATACAAGTAAAATAATTAAAATAAATATTAAGTAATGAAACAAAACATAAAGAAGAATGAAAATTCTTCAAATGTGTAAAATATCACGATATATTATTGAGTTTTGGCTAAAATATCACAAGAAATTGAGGAGGGTGCATTTCGCCATGAGATGTATTTTATAAGGGTGCACTCTGCCAATTTTTAAATGATAGGCCGGGTGCAAAACGCTAAACACTATTAATTTTGGGGGTGCAAAACACAATTCACCCTAGGATTTTTTTATAATTTTTAGATAAATAAATTAGTGATCAACATAAAAACCACACAAGAAGAAATGACTATCACTGAAAGTGGCTAAATGGTCTCACCGAAAGCTGATATGGAGGTTTGCCTACCCTCACATACATTTGTTTCCTTTGTGTTGATATACATTCCAAATTGTCTTGTCGATCGGATTAGACGACGACGAGATTTAGTTTATTCTGCTGCTACACTCGGTCGAATAAATTGAATATATATATATATTATCTGATGTACAATTTACCGGGTGTAGTATAATTTTGAAAAAACGATGACTATCTTATTTTTTTTTTTTTTTAAATTAAACAAAAAAAGTAAATTAAATATTTCATCATTTCAAAGAAATGACTCAATGCTATTTTTAAATAGTGTGATTTATTTTTATTTCTTATGACAAATAATACTAA